TTTTTTTTTTTTTTTTCCCATTTCCTGGTGTACTCCCTCCCTTACAAGATTTTTAGTCAATAACTTTTTTGAAGGCTGATTTTTGGCTCCTTTGATGTTAAGATTTTGTGCTTTATAGACTAGAGCTTGATGGTCTTATTAGAACAAGTCCCAGCTGGGGATGCCACTTGCTTCAGGGGCCGCCCTCCATTTTGTGGGGTGGGGTGGGGGCCGCCCTCCATTTTGTGGGGTGGGGAGGGGGCCGCCCTCCATTTTGTGGGGTGGGGAGGGGGCCGCCCTCAATTTTTGTGGGGTGGGGAGGGGCCGCCCTCCATTTTGTGGGGTGGGGTGGGGGCCGCCCTCCATTTTGTGGGGTGGGGGCCGCCCTCCATTTTGTGGGGTGGGGTGGGGGCCGCCCTCCATTTTGTGGGGTGGGGGGGGGGCCGCCCTCCATTTTGTGGGGTGGGGAGGGGGCCGCCCTCCATTTTGTGGGGTGGGGAGGGGGCCGCCCTCCATTTTGTGGGGTTGGGGTGGGGGCCACCCACCATTTTGTGGTGTTGGGGTGGGGGTCGCCTTCCATTTTGTGGTGTGGGGGCTGCACCCCGTGGGTTGTGTGGTGAGGGTGTGCCCCCCATGTTGTGTGGGGAGGCAGTTGCTCCTCTTGATGCTGTAGTGAGGGGGCTGCCTGCCATGTTGCATGGGGAAGGGGCTGCCCACCTTGGGTGGCAAGGGGGCTTCTGCCATGTTGTATGGGGGAGTGGTGGCTGCCCACCATGTTATGGGGCTGTGGTGAGGCTGCTGCCACTTCTGAGCGGGGTGCACTGGGATGGGAAGGGGGGAAAAAAATAGCACGTGTTGCTTTGGAAAAAGCAGTGACTGCTTGCCTTGTGTCCTGGAGGATTTGCTTCTTTACCCGTCTGTTAAATATCAAAGGAATTGTCTTTCTTTTAGTTAAGTAAAAACCCGGCAAATACACAGAAATGCCCCAAACCCCTAAAAACCCTCAACACACTTACTGAGCTTTTCCATGCCCAATGGTTGTTTTATGTCTGTGCTGGAAACACACCACTCGTTGCTCTTAATATATCTGTAGCTTGGTGAAACCTTTCTAAAGTAACAGTAGCACTTGCTGTGGGACACCAAAGTGGTCATGGGAACATGTTGTGTCTGTATTTAAGTCTCATTATGAGTATTCATTGTGAGGTTTTCTTCATGGAGGCTTTATTTTGGGGTGATCTGCTGTGTGAGGTTGCCTTAGAAACCTAAACGAAGGGTTCTTCTCCTCTCTGTTTATAAACAGTAACTGGGAAACGGGCTGTAGAAGCCTCCTGGTTAAATGTTAATAAGGAATTGACTAACGGAGTGGGGAAAATACTCGACAAAACACAATATGTTCTGTTCCAGTGGCTGTCCTTCCTTTGCCTTCTATCCTTCTTTCTGAAGTGCCTGATTGTCCTTACTGGGATGGTGAGTCAGCTGGGAACACAGAAACAACTGTGGTATCCAGCAGGATGCAGACATCAAGATGTAACTGCATTCAGATAATAAAAGGATTTAAGGAAGGGGGAGGTGGTGTGAGCTAGAAATTGCTGCTCATTACCCTGTGGAGATGTATGAACTCAGTTGGGAAAAGCGAGCTGTATTCCAGATCCATTGGTGATGCACAGAGATTTTTAGAGCGTTGCAAAGCAGGCATCTGACTGAAACAATCCAATAACATTGCTGTTGGAGAGCTGCAGAGCTGAAAGCTGTGCCTGGCTCACTAGAAGTGTCAGGAGTATTCTGGACAGAAAATGGTTTACGGCAATATTATTTGTTGGGTTTGCTTACACAGTTTGGTTATTCGTTTCATTTTTTTGTTTGTTTTGGCTGTCTAGTCCTGAAATAGTTTGTCTGCAGAACTTAACTGCTCCTATAGAGCACTAAGTACAGTATGTCATGGGGCAGTTTCTCCAGACTTTACTATGTTAAAGGAATCTTTGTTTATTCAACAAGGATTCATTCAGCAACATCCCCCTGCAAAGCATTTTGGAGAAGTGTTTGCCCTGTTAACTCTTTGCATTCAGTTCTGCTGGTGTCAATAAAGGTACAGCTACAGGAATGAAGCTGCTGGCCAGTCCCTTCCAGGACTTCTCTTGGAATGGTGCTTTGACCACTGGTAACCAAAGCAGGTTCCCACGAGTTACGTGTTGCCTTTGGCATTCAAGTTGTGCTTGCTGAAAACTAGTCAGAAGCTTGACGAGTGCATCCCTTGCTTAATCTGAGCTTTATTTATTACGATAATCTGGGTGTTTCAGGATGATGTATCTGAGGTAGAGAGAAGAGTATAAACCATGAGCACCATGGCCTCATGTGGGAGGTGTGTGTGAGGCAGTTTTGTGTGACCTCAAGTCCTGTAAATCTTGGAGAAGGTGTGAGAGGTCTTGACATAAGTTATAAGTCCCGTTAGAGAACTTGAATCTCAGGGGATGTTTCCAGGCATCTGATGGATGGGAATGCATTTCAGGCATTCAGACTGGCTGGATTCAAGCGAGTGACACAGTGCTGTAAATACCCTCCTCGTTTATGTTAGGTCAGATGGTGAAGTGCTGTTTTATGAGCTTACTTCTGAAAAGATGGAGGGTGTCCAGACTTAATTCATCTTCTCCTGCAGTGTTTCTAAATGTTGTGGTTCTTCTTTTATTTAAGGGAAAAAAATGTAATTCCAGTTTATTTATGTACCTATATATATATAGACGTGTGCTCAGAAAATAGCAAACCGAGGGCAGTTTCCATTTTGACAACTCATCTGCACCATCACAAATAGCACTTACTCAAAACCTTTGGGTTAAAAACAGCACGAACACCCCCTCTCCCAAATGCACCGCCGACTCCAGGAGTAAAAAAATAAACTTTGCGATTAAACGCGGGGTGTTTTGTGCGTGATCTGAGCTGGCAACGGGGCTGTCGGATCCCGCGAGCCAGAGAGAGCCCTTGCGAAGTACCCTTTTTTTTTTTTTTTTTTCCTGTTTGTTATTTTATCTTTGTAAAATCCAGCTTTTCCCCTCCTCCTCCTCCGGGTGCGGGGTGGCTGCCAGCAGCGGGGTGACCTGTGACCGGGAGCTGCCGCCGCGCTCGGGAATGTGCGCTGGGTTCCAGCGGCTCTGGATGCGCATCCCTCTGATGTGTGTGTGCGTGTGTGTGCCCGGCGTGGGCGGGGGGGAGAGGCAGGAGTAGAACTCTCCTGTGATGACCGCGCAGGAGCTTTCTGGGAACTTGGGCTGGATGCGGACGGGCCTGGCCTCTGTTCAAGGCAGTTTTAGCTCCTGCCGGGAGCGGCAGCTGGTCGGGGCACGGAAGCCAAAGCCCCGTCGGTCCGCCCGGGCAGAGCGGTCGGGGGGCGTCACATGCTGCGTGTGCAGCTCTGGCAGCGCTGTAAACTTGGGGAATTTTTAGATCCGGAGCGTTTGTCGCTAATGATTTAGTCTTAGTTTTCCTATAAATAGCCACTTATATCTGAACCTGCCCTTTAATGAGGCTATTTCTGTCGCAGTTGGAGGCTTGTACTGGAAATGCTCTACCTGGAATCCCTGCTGCGCTCTTTGTTGTCTTGGTGTGCGGTTCTCTGCTGTCTCCTGGCTGGCTGGTATTTAACAAGGGGGATGTTCCAAACGACTTTAAGACTCTTTGATATGGACAGTTTTGGAATATAGCTGAAAACCATAAAATAGCGCTGACACCCCTCTTT